CGCGACGGGGGTAGGAAATGGGAATGATGGTTGGAACTTGGCTCCTCTCTGACACCCAGATTCTCGGACAAGCATTGACGCCAAGTGCCTCCTGATCAGTCAGTCATCCCCTGTGCTCTTCCCCCCTCCCCCCTCTCCACACAGTACCGTGAATCGCACTCCCTACCTCAATCACGACTGCTCTTCACTGCATTACAATTAGGGTTTAATCATCAATACACATGACAAGATTTAGGGTTTCGGGATTAGGGTTAGGGCTGGGTCGTCAACGAGGCAAGATAGCAGGGTCTCCCAACTCAATGATCCAGCCATAAAGTCCCCAACTCAGTGTAATTCCCACTAATTCCTAACAATAAACCTCCCACATTTTCATTACGATAAGTTTAGAGACTGAATTACATTCCCACTGAAAGCATGAGCCTCAACTGCCCAAGTGCTGTAAACAATTCTAGATCATCCAGGAGACTATAATTTACTGTGAAAAGAAACACGTTAGTCATTACTTCTAATTGTATTCAATAGTAGTACCAGGGTAATGTACAACTCCACCACACCCACATTCCTCTTTATCTTCTTCTTCTTCTTCCTCTGCTCCAACTAGTAGTTCTTATAATCCTCAACTTCTCTCTGTCTCTCTCCCTTTAAATCCATCATGCATGGGTCACTTTAACTCTGTGTCGTCTCTGGCCCCATTGTGCTCCCTCCCCTTCACATAGTGGCCACAATCATTCACACCCCATATAATCATAATATTGTGCAAATCTGGCTCATTAAGGGTAACTTAAACCAGGAATTCAAAGCTGGGAGGGGGGAGTCCCACAAAGGCAAAGTGTGTCCTTGTGTCCAAGTCCTCTTGTAGTGGGACAACAGAGTTCTTCTAATTCCATGGCTTGTTGCTGTGTACGTAGCCTGATGGTACCAGCAAGTACCCTCCACTACTTGGCTTTGTATTCAAGTATTAGTACGTTTCATGATCTTTGGGTCTATCCTCTTTTAAATGTAATTAATGTTTCTTACCTGAGGGCAAAATAAAATAAAAATGAAAAATGAAAAATAAAACAGGAGTGGGGGGGGATGTTACATTCGGACACTTGTATGCTATCTCCAGGTTTTCACCATTATTTATTGCGATAGTTTTATGATGTTTTTGGACGTTACCTTTAGTAACTATACGGCTTGTTTGTCTGCAAATAAATAAAAGTATAGTGAGTCATTTGTAATATTATACATACATACATATGTGTGTATGTATATGTACTTATTGTACAGAATCACAATAGGTACCAGTTTCAGTAACTTGATTCAAAACACATATATAGCTATATATATAGATATATATATATATATATATAGTAATAATAATAATCACAACAACTTTATCTTGGATCAAATTGTGGCATGTGCATGACATAAAAAGTTTAATGACAAAAGTTATGTATATTTTACTATCATCAAAATCAACCTAGTAATTCTTTTGCAATCAAGAAGAGCAAGGCAAGCAATTGTCATGCACATATGACACTATAAAACAGGTATTAAATCCTGCATTGTTAAGAAGTTTTAACACAAAATATTATACCTATGAATATATGTACACATACAAACAACGACAATAATAATTTATTTATTTATGAATCATTTTCAACGTGTCATAAGAAAATCAGCTTAAACCAATATTATAATAAAAATAATAATCCTGTATGAAATTTTATTTTAAAAATAAATCTTTAATTTTCATTCCATACAGGATCTGGATATGAGTGCATAATCATGTTAAGCAGTTGTCACAAATTTCGCAATTCAAAGATAAAAAATAAAAAAATAAAACCAATTTTATATTGACCGTTCAGTGTATTTTAATTTTCTTTCATACATTTTGTTGCCAAAATTTTGGATGTTCAATATATCCAATTGATACTTTAACCATCAAAAAATTTGCTGGAAAATGGATACTTATAAAATCACTTATCCAATAAATAGAGATTCACTGCAATGAATTTGCTGCTATGTATGAGTTTTATATTGAATATATTTGAAAATAAAATCTTAATCCAATCTTAAGGGTAAAATATCAAATCCTGAAAATTGCAGTTTTTCATAATTATATCTCCTAAAATTAATTAAGTGCACAAATTCCCGCCTAAGTACTTGCAATGTTATCTAAATAGATCCAAGCAATATCATGTTAATCTATATATATATATATATATATATATTTAAAAAAAACTTTACTATATAAAGAATTTACCGTTTCATATTGTGAGGAATAGTCTTAAATTTCTTGAAGAGTGCAATCAAATACTATTCATAGACACCGTAAGAAAACCTTAAATACCTGAAAACAATCTGTTCATGTACACACTAGCTGTTTGAATACTTAACAAACTTGATGCCAAATGTTTTGATTTCAATTTTACCTATCATATATTTTAATTCTTTCCTAAAATAAATCATAACGAGAAACATATTTGAAACTACCTAATAATAAAAGAATACATAAAATGAAAGAGACGGAAAAAAGAGGTTGGAGGGAGAAGACTGACATTGAGGTTTGGAATTGGATAAGGGTTGGTCAAAGATTGCACTTGGAAATTATTGGAGAAAAGTAAAAGATGGATGGCAAGAAAATGGTGGTTAGGAAGGAGAAGATGGAGTGGTTGGAGCAATAAAGAGTCTTGAGGATATTCAAAGGTTACAAAATGAAGCACACCCACATACATATATTATTAGAAGTGGTTTCAAAAACATGGTTTGTAGTCCGTTTTTTTTATGTTTGTCTGTATGTGCATTTTTTTTTTTTTTTTTTTTTTCTTTTAGATATTCCAAAAGGATGTGTACTTCACTTTGTAGGCATGGAAATACACCAAAATGATCATCATTCCAGCAATTGTTGTTGTGCTACATTGTTCTGGATGTATTGAAAAAAATGCCTCTAGAAGTGTAATAAATCATGTAATTGATCATTGACCAAACATTGACTTGATATCATTTTCAAAAAAATAAAATTTTGAAGAAAAAAATGTAATATTAATATGCATATTGTGATGTTATGTGTTTATAATATTTGTAGATAGATAGTAACTATAATTTTTATAGCATTAAGGTTGAAAACCTAACTTTTAATATTAAAAAATTAAAGTTATATAATTTTAATAATTATATAAAACTACAAGTTATATGATGTCATTAAAAAGAAACGTGATAATAAACTAAAAATAATTTTTTTTTGATTAGAATCACAATATCAAATTTGTGTATAAAAATTAGTTTATGAATTTCAAATTTTAAAATATTAAATAATTATTAATAAATAAATAATTTTTTTAGGTGCACAGATAAAAATAAACTTTTCAGTATTTCTTAAGAGAATAAAAATAAACTATAATAATGATCATAGAATCAATAAAATAAACTATCCAAAGCAACTCAAAGCATACTTTGTAAAAATAACAATTTAGTTTCAAAATCAATATCATTTTATGTTTAAGTATAACCTGCGTTATTTTATTTATTTTTTATTGAACTAAAATTCTAATTTTTTTACACTTGTATGATTTAAAATTAAAAAAAAAAAAAAAAAAAAAAAAAAAATCATAACCTGAAATAATAATGATAAAATCATACACGAAATTTGTGTGAATAACAGAAGAGATATTTTGTAAAAATGATATGGAAAATAAAGCCTCTCAATTGATATATATATATATATATATATATATATAGATGCATATGCATATATTATGTAATTATTTTTTATTTTTTCAAACTTAGTACAAAATTTTAATAATTTCATAGAATTACAGATCTTTTTTGATAAAAAGAATGTTTCTTATAAATTATCAAAGTAACATCAATATAGAGTTTTTATATAATTCTTAGGTTAATAAACATATTTTAAGATTTTAATATTGTAGAATAAATAACATATCCATATAATAATTAATCATATTCTTACATTTTTTTAAAAATAATTATTACAAATAATAATTAATCAATAAAATATAATACAAATATCTTTCTTATTAATAAAGAACTATGTTCAGTCCTATTTGCATATTATTATCATGTTATAGTTAATTTATAATGTTTATTTTATTTTATTCTATCTTTCTTAAAACAAATCTTCTGGAAAAATTATCAATAGATGTATTGACTATAAATAAATGAAATTAGAACCTAGAATAAGTTAGTATTTTTTTTGGTCCAAAATATTTATATAAAAAAAATACATTGCTAATAGTAATATTAAAGTTATATACATCATTTTTACTTTTTTATATATGTATTTTTAATTTTAATAATCTAAATTAATATTTTTCTTTTATTATATATAAAATCAAATCAAATATTAAATAATGAATCAAAATCAACAAAACTTGAAAAAAAATACATGATATTTTATTTATTTTAATTAATAAAGAAATTAGATGTTTTATGCAATCTACAGAAAATTGAAGCAACTCCATAATATATTCAATATTTCCTAAGCTATTGCATCTAATTTATAATTATAACACTGAGTAGAACTTCAGGAATGTTTCACAATATTCAGTTGCATAACACATAATTTAAATTTCTATTAGCCACCAGAATAGATCATAATATTTTTAAATTTGTTTTAGGAAAATAAAATAAAATAAAACATATAATACATGTAAACCTTCACACAAAGATAGAAGTTTAAAATAAGATAAGACATTTTGGCTAAAAGAAAATCTTGGCAATAGCAATCTTTGAATTATGATGCATTGTCTCCAAACCATTTTTCACCCTAAGTGCACAAAACAAGATTGCTACTTTTTTATTTGAATCGTGTGGACTCACAACTTATAGGTTGTGTTAAGAATCAACTAAATGGAGTATAACGAATACCACTAAAAGAGAGCATCAACATCCTGCCAACATGCATGAAATCCATGTCCAATGTTGAAACCAACCCTCAAATCCAACCCATTCACAGCTTCAAATCACACACCAAACATAGACACCACACAAAGAGATGAATAACTTAGCAAGTACATAACTTGGGAAGCAGCTGATGTGCTCATTTTTTTATTTCTTTATTTTTTAAATAATACACGGATTCAAGCGTGATAAAACAGCTGAAAATGAGGCACATTAGAGCAGCAAGTAGCTCAATGGCGGCTCTGAGAGGGAGGGAGTTGTTGTGGCGTGGCAGCATCAAGTCTCACAGACGACGAAGAAGAAGAAGAAGAATGAAGAAGAATCAGAAGAAGCATTAAGGGAGTCATGGGCTTAGTGAGTGATCAGAGCAAGGAAATGAGCCACTCACTGCTCTGCTGCTGCTCAAATTTGCTGTGTTTTAACGCATGGTTCGAAGCATTGCATGGGCAGTCGGTGAGTCGGTGACGAGCTTTTTGTGGAGACTAGAGCAGGACGTTATGGTGCTGCAATGCGGAGCCTCCACTGCGAAGGAGTTCCACAGCAAAGTCGGCAGCTCGTGTTGCATGGGAAGAGGAGTCCGAGTCCGAGCTCGTCACTGCCACCACGGCATACACCTCGCCTGCACCGACTACACCCACCCTGGTACCGACAGCAACCACCACTGCAAGTTCAGCTCAGTTTGCTTCATGGGCTTGGATCTTGTCGCTTACGAGGTGGGTACCAAGCACTTCCTCCAGTTAAACTCACACCCTCATTGCAGTTATGGACATGTGTATGCAAAGAGATATCTGAACGAAGCAGAAATCAGCATGGCAGATTTACTTTATATATATATATAGATATATATTTGGTGGTGGGGGGGGGGGGGGGGGGTACAACCAACCAAGTTGGAGATCAACGTGGAATGGTAACGCTTAGTAGCTACCATGATCATATGATTCTTAGTAGAGAGCTAATAATACTGCAGAGCTTACATGTACAGATAGAGACTCTTCGGCGAGAGTTGGTTTATCATCGTACTAACCTCTCGCATGGGACTGCTGGAATTTAGAGGGCATGGAGGGAGGTGGAGTGGTGGAAGAGGGGTTTGAGGAAAGGGAGTGGTAGGATGAAGGGAAGAGAGGGGAGGGGAAGGGGGGGTCCTCTACCTGTGAGCTAAGGCAATGCAGCCAAGCTGCCACTGCGAGCGCATCTTGCTGCAAATGTCATAGAGTTTAGCCTCCGCCTCATGGTAGGTATGGCTGTGGAAGTTGATGCCGCGAATGTCACGCCCGTTCTCTGTCACGGTGGGCACCGTGCACACGCTAGTGCTCACGCCCAGAGATTCCGAGCAGGCGGGGTGCTTCACCTTGCGCAAGTAATGAGCTTGGTCTAGAGGTTGCGCTACGAGCTCCACCAGGTCGAGATCGCCAGGTCCTCGGCTGGGGCTGGAGTGAGAGGGAGATTGGTCCCAGTACTTCCGGCCGAGAGGAGAGGAATTGGAGAAGGTGGTGGATTCGGAGGTCACCGAGGTGATGTCGTCTGCCAAGGACGACATAGGCCCTCGGGACAACAGCAAGCTTGTGACATCGCTGATATCATGATCCGGACCTCCAGTGACATAATTCATCACCTGCTGGCGGTGAGGATTGAATGTGTCATGGCACGGATTGCCGAAGTAGGCTGACAGTCTCGGATCATGATTGGCATTGGCGTTTTCGAAGGAGTTCACTGATAACTGATGGTTAGGAATGGTGACCGTTCTTTTAACAGACGGTTCGACGATCGCCAGGGGATTAGCGTTGGGGTGGTATCTACAATGATCGGAAGCGGCGGCGGAGGCGGCGGCTAGGATGATATCCGGGTTCGTCGAGAGAGCTCGCGGATTTTCGCGTGTGTTATTTCCAATCCTATCTGCCTGCGCCAGCTCATTGTCACCCGTCGTTAGAATCCCTTTGCGTTCTAAACTGGCAACACTCCCAGCTGCACCCGATGTGCTTTCGAGCTGCTGCTCCAGCTCATCGGTGGCCTGGAAGTGGCTGTGGCCATGGAGAGGACGAGCAGATCCGTCCAAAGAAGAATAAGCTTGGGTGGACAAATCCAAGTTTGAAAATTTGTTCCTGCCCTGTTGCAACATTCCCTTAGATTGAGAGGAAGCGGATCCTCGCTCGAGGGAGTAAGGCAGCAAGTGTGGGTGGTTGTTGCTGTTCCTGGAGCTGTCGTTAACAATTTGGTCCAAGGTTCCAAGCTGAGAAGCCGTGATATGATCTGTGGCTTTGAGATCTCGCAGTTCCGAGCTTTGGTAGACGGGTACAGCATCTGAGGTGGCAGCATCTGAGAATCTCGATGTACTGCCGTAATCTGGAACATTGTTTTGTGATACCCAAATGGCTGCATCATCGTCTTCTGCTTTCCCGGTAGCAGCAGGCTCTGCAAAGAGAACTTCTGAGCCCCCTTCTGCCCACTGCCCACCACCCCAGAAAGTCACAGGGGGTCTGGAATAGCTGCCAACTCCTTGACCCCAAACAGAGACGCGAGACTGCAAAGGATTAGCAGAGGAAACAGAGGACGCGCCATAGCCCACAGACTGCACCAGAGAAATCAGATTTCCGTGGGCGAGGGGATTCACATACTGAGTCGATGCTCTTGTTCCCTCTACTTCTTCTTGTAAATCCTTTCTCCCCATTTTGTTGTTCATGATGGTGTGATCGGGCTCTGGAGTGCTGTTCATCTCCACAATGCGCGCTGGAAGCGTGAGCTTCTCGATCTGCAACAAGCATAGCCCAAGAGGTTATATTAAATAGCGAGTTAACTAAACACTGAACAACCTTGGCCACTGAGAGAACAAGATTTTTTCGGAAAAACACATAGATTTTAAGAAACTGACATGGAGCCAGAAGAATTCAACTGTACCTCGTTGGAAGTCCAGCCAGGAGGGGAGCCACAAGTCAGCTGCGGGGAGTCCGATTCAGGAGTACCAGAGTGTGTGTCATCGGGATTGCCTTTGTTGAATCGATCTACATCGTCCACGGTGGGGAGAGATTTGAACACCCTGCCTTTCCGCCCGCCCCCCTGAGCAACCACTTTCTGCTGGTAATCGCGCAAAATAGTGCAGCGAGGGACAACCTCTAAACCGTCCGAGGACCCGTCCGCAACCCTCCTGTGCTTGCGTCTCAAGTCTTTCCGTCGCATGGTGGCGTTCCAGTGATTCTTTATGGCATTCTCCGTGCGCCCAGGAATCATCTTCGCGATGTCTGCCCAACGGTTTCCAAGTTTGTTATGAGCTGACACCAGAGCTTCCTCTTCCTCCGTGTTCCATCCGTCACGCTGCATTAGCCATTGAACATCCAGAACCACATCCATTAGGACTAGATGAACGCAGAACTTGATCACATTCTCCACGTCTTTCAATTTTCAAGGGTGATAATGATCTTGTGAGCTTTCAACTTCTTCGCAGCACATCTTGTGATGTACCTTGATATCAGGTCGGAGGTGATTGTGCCAGCGCTCTCGGCACTGCTTCCCAATGCGGCCCGTCAATTGTGTGGCAATAAGCGACCAGCGTTGTTGTCCATGCCTTTCCACCAACTCCACCAAGTACCTACTCTTTCATAACTAGACGCAGTTACAAATCGATTTCATTCATCATAGGTTGTTTTTAATCAGGTATAAAATTATTTTAATTGCATGTACTCCAACAATACAAGCCTGTGGGGAACCGAGTACTCCACTTTGAGGACTCCCTCAATTTCAGACGGGATTTCTAGCTTAAGGAGTCAGACATACCTGTCTTCTTCGGGAGTCCATTGTCCTTTGATGATGTGTGGTCGACGAGGACCACCCTTAGAAGAACGTTTGAAGACACGCTTACTGGGAAGACAATCGCCCCGTTGCTCGTTTCGGGTCTTCTCGTAAGCAGCTCTGGCAGTGAGCTGCTCGCCAGGGTTGCATCGAGAATCCATGAAGAAATCGTTCGTAACGGAAAATTCGTGCCCTGGTAACATGCTCAAACTGCTGTAGCAGAACGGTGAACCATTCTCTTCCAAGCTGACACCATTTGATCCCATCCGTAAGCCTGTCTGATAGTCAACCGTATCTGTAGGCCTTGATCCGCTCATGTACTCGTCCGAGCAGCAGTTTAGAATGCCTTGTTTCAAATTTCGTTGGTTCTCTTGTATTTGAAGGTCGAGGAGGTTAGCTTTGTGCACTGCGCTCGTAAGCAGCAAGTAGTCGGTTACACTCCCTCCCTCCTGCGGCCATCCGTCGATTGCACTGTAGGTAGTACTACCAAGGTAACCACTGCTGGAACCGATCTGCTGATTCGGCAACTCCCGGCTCCGCAGAGTGTCTGTTATAACATCTGATAACAAATTGTTGGGGCTCGACTCAAATCGTATTCCACCTCCAGCGATGGTCCCAGAATTTGTCTGTTGGAGCTCAATATTCCTTTGCGCTTCTTGGAACCTCTTCAAATGTTCCTCGGAGCATGTTGTCATGGAAGCAGGCAAATCATTTCGAGCTTCTCCTGCTTGAATCTTTGCAACCATACTTTCATCACCGAGATCCATTTGTACGTTTGTAGCATCCAGCTGGATAGATCTATGACCCTCGGTGCTTGTACTCCCAGCTTCTGTTTGTTTCCCCGTTGCAAAGGCCCCTGGTTTCGACGATTGCATGATGTGGGATCGCTGAAAGAGACTCTCCCACATGTTGCTACTGTTGGTCGCACTCTCGTCTTGAGATGGGCTGGTGGGTGGAGACGTTGTCAAGCAGCCTGAATCCTGCCGCGGATGACACAGCAGCTTGGAAACCCTGGCTCTCTTGCTGCATAGCGTGGCTGGAGCACAGCTTTGGTTTGCAGCAGAGAGGTGGAGGTCCTTCCTGTTACTCCATTGATCTTGAAAATGTAGGCTGGTGGGCTCATCTCCATCTGCACTTCGAGGAGATGCCCAATTCTCTGAAGTGACTTGCGAGGACCTCTCTTGAAAGTCACCGCTCCACTCCCGTGTCCGCCTTCCCCTCCATCCCGGCGACGTCTTGTCAGAAATGTTGTACATCAGCCCTTTTCCCGAGGTATTCTCGTGTTGCTCATGGCTTTGCAGCGTATAAGATGATGCTTGTTGCCGCTGTTGCGACACGTTCACCGCCGTCGAACCCATCTCGTGAAACGTCGGAAAGTTTGATGTTGTTTCATCGTGCTGCTGCCTGGTGGTTGGGGCGCCATCCCCGAGAGATGGATGTTGCAACCTGTTGAGGCTTTGGTTCTGAAGAGAGCTTCCTGTGCTTGGGAGATTGTTCAAGGCAGCCACCTTGGAGCTGCCCCCAAGTGCTGTTGCTGCGACAACATTGGTGCTACTGCCGGACGCTTTTGTGTCGCCCACTGATAATTGCATCCTGATATCCACCGTGTACGGTCCACCCGGACTTAATGCCGAACCGACTCTAGGGGACAACTGCGATCCCAGCCCAGCCACGGAACCCCACAATTAACACCTCTCTCTCGTAATTTCTCAGATCATCACACGGCCAACACACGAAATGTGGAGTGATAAGAAGATGAGCCTTCAGAATCTAGCTAGATAATCTTGCAGTAATAACTGCTCCCAACCGTAGAGAAATCAAGCAGAGTAACCAGACAAAAGTTGAAAAGACAGAAGTGCAGGATAAATACCGGACCAGACGGCGATGGAGCAGAATTTTTAAGCATTCCATGAGTTTCTTTGAGTGTCATTGAGGCCTGGATTAATGCTTCGATCCCTCGTCGCAACAACCTCCTAATCTAAACAGTGAGTGATTATCTTCTATCCTTCCTATCTATCACTATACTACCCTTCTACGGCGACGTGATAGTTACAATTTTCTCGAAGATTCCACAATTGATCATCTCCAAACGTCTTCAGTTTCTCCTCACCACCCTACCGGAAAAGTACCATTTTGTGCGTTCCATGGTCACTCAATTAAACACTATGAGAGGCTACTAGATGTTTTTAGAAATCACCACAGCCACCACGGCAGTCTCTTATGTCGTCTATCATTGTCTTCGGCAATTCTCTAGTTGACGAGTTTCTGAGTGGCACCGCCTAGCTCGCCATGTCAAAGTGGATTCGCAATTGGGTAGAGAAGTAGCTACTGCAGAATGAACAATGTGCCGTACACTTGGTCAGTGCCATGCGACTTGCAAGGACTGTGTGTTAGTGTGTTAGAAGAAGAGATTGTTCTCCAAAGCGCTCAGCCACCGAGCTGTCCTGTCTGCAATGCTCCGAAGCTTGAATAATTGGCGGCAACGAAAGGTTAGCTACGAATTCAAGTGAGACAATATATATATATATATATATATATATATGCACACACACACTTCCTAGGACTATGGACCAGGAAACTGATGCCCTTTATGGCAGATCTCACTCAATGAGTTGCGTCAGGTACTTGGAGGAATTAATGTGGCCCGTCCGATTGGTTCTAAAATTTCGAGATTTAGAGGATGTTTTACACGCAAAATACATAGCCAATCAGCTGTAGCAAGGAATATGAAGGGATCTTGAACGAGGTCGTTGGATTCCAAGCTCCAAGCATCCATAGATAGATCAGTACGACTGAAAGGCTGACCTTTCAAAGTTTCTCACAGACTACGATATCCTCCTCAGTCCGGGGGTATTGGAGACATCTTTCTCTCGACAGACGATCAGGCTCTTGCTTAAATTCAACCGAATGCAGAACTAGTCACAGTAGACGAAGAAGCATCTCATTCTCATGAATAGCACTGTACGAACCAAAGTAGCCAAGAGGTCGAAAATCTGCCAGACGTAGTGTCATAAAAATATCCTGATCTATTAGGCGTAGTCTTAAAATTCTACGAGTGTTCCTGACTGCTAACCAAAAGTTAGGCCCGCAACGCATGGGTAGTCCCGACACGGATCAGCAACACTTTCTTCGCACTCGACCAACTTAGTTATAATTCAAACACTTGTTTCTTTTGCCACTGCTATCCATGGTCTACTACAGGAAGTTCATTACTAGGTTCAGAATTCCTATGGAGACGTCGAGCCCTGATACAACTTCCCTAGTCATCACAGCGCTTTCCTTTTGAGCTTAATCGGGGGAACCTCACGATCATCACAACCCTCCACGAGGTACACTCACTCTCTTTCTTGCCACTCCGAAATGAACAGGCAAAGAGAACAAAAGAATAACAGGGGAAACCAAATAAAAATAGCAAAAAATAACATTTCTAACAGCTCCTTTATCGCCAAGAGAGGGCACCTGATCAGGTTGATTGTGCCTCCATCCGCCTTCTCTACTCGCCCGGAAGGTACCGTATGATCATGTACTTCGAACCTAGCAAGCAGCGACTAGCACACCCAGAAATGCGTCCCTCAATCCCCCACTCGCCCACTCAAAAAGAACTCGCCCTTCAACCTGCTGAACCGCCGGCTGCTAAGATTTTGCAAGACTCGCACTCTCCTCGACTACGAGAACCAAGAAATGGAAAGTTCAGGCAGACAAACGCACTACTCCTCCACTATCCAACTCTCACTAAAAAAGAAACATCACCAACTACTAAAAAATAAGCGTTGCAAGAGAGAACCCGTCCCAACTGCCGTTGCGTTAAGGCTTCCTGAACCAGCCAGTGAAGTGAAAGGCAAGACAAAAGGGAAGCCAAGGCTATAGCCCCCGTCAGTTGAACTTCTCGGGGGGAGCAGTGGTCACACCCATATCCGCCGCGTCGGCACGGGGACATACAGGGCAGTGGCAACGCTGCATCACGACACTGCACTGATCGGAACCCAATTGGGACAGTTTTTGAGGGAGGGGAGGAGGAGGGGAGGGCTATGGGGGGTATTGCAGCGTGCCTCCGTCCTTCTTTTCTTCCCCCATCTCCCACCACCACTCTCCGTCTTCCCTCTTCTCCCCTCGCCCTCCTCCTCCTCCTCCTCGCCCTCCTTCTGCTCTCTCCCTCGCCCCGCGCCCCACTACGAAACGCATCATCATCCGACTCCACCCAGCTAGCTCCCTCGTCCCACTTCTAATCTACTCCCACGTTCTACCCTTGCCATACTCGCTCGCGCTCTCTCTCTCTCTCTCTCTCTCTCTCTCTCACACACACACAGTCTCTAACTATCTCTCCCGTCTCGGAAGGGGTAGTAGTGTAGAAGTAGACAGGCATCTGCTACGACTACTGCACCCCACTCGTCATCATCATCGCCACCATCTCCATCACCTTCACAACCTTCATCCTCCACCAGCAGCAGGTGCTGTTGCTGCTTCTTCTTCTTCGTGATGGGAGTAGCGGAGGTGGTGGTTGTGGTGTTCCCTAGTTGTTATTTAGTTGCTGTTGTTGATGTTGTTGTTCTGCTGCTGCTGGCTTCTTCTTCTTGTGCTGATGGGTGTGCTCCTGGGGTGTGCTCCTGCACTCCCTACTCCTCCTACTACTCCTACTATTCCTACTCCAGCAGTAGGGGGGGGTGATATACTAGTATAGTAAGGAAGGGGGGCATCAGGACAGTATCTGTCCAAGGGGCTGGTCGCTTTCCATCAGTTGGGTTGGGTTCCGACATCCGGAGATCATCATCCGCTTTTCCTTCTCCAATCCTCCAATCCTGCTGCTTTCCTCCTTCAATCCTCCGATTTTCCGATCCTCCTCTTCCTCCTCAGATCATGCTATGCAATGCACTGGTCCCTGGTCTCTGGTCCCTGTGCTTTTGGGTCTCGGATTCCAGATCTGACCCCCTCCCCCCTTCCCTCCCATTTAACGACGCTGTGACACCATGCCACCCGTCGCCCTCGCCGCTGGGTCTCATTATTACCCACTCATTCACGGGGATCCGTCACGGCCCCCGCGTCTTTGTCACTTCCCAGGGGCAGGGAAGGGAAAGGGCACAAGGTAAGGGAAAGGAACGGGAAGGGGGGAAAGGGACGGGAGGGGCGTGCAGCCAGGCACGCACGCCCGCACGCACGCAGGATGGGAGCGGGCAGGGCAGGGGCGGGGGGACTGGGGGGGGACTGGAGGGACGCCCGGTCTGGGTCTGGGGGTAGTGGTGCCCTGTAGAGATATATATAATAGGTGGCTGGGGCAGGGTTGTAAGTAAGTAGGGGGTAGGCAGTTCCGACAGCAACATGGTGAAAGGCTCGATTCGTTTGTGTTTGTTTGTTTGTTTGTTTGGTGTTGGTTTTTGGTTACTACCGCCCTCCTCCGCGCTTGTCCCCGCTGTCCCCCCCCCCCTTTCCCTGCTGTGCCCTGACCCCGTCCCCTCTCCCTCACTCCTTCCCTCCCACTTTCCTTTTTGTCTCCGTAGCTCATACTGTGTATATGCTACTGGTGTTGGTTGTGTTCTCGCGGGCACTGCTTGATGCAGCTATTCCTCCCTCCTCAGCCCTACCCTAAACCCTACCCTGCCCTGCCCTGCCCTGCCAAGCTTGCACACAAACCCACCACTACAACCTGATGTAAGCTCAGCAAGAGTATCAAGAGCAGCAGCAGAAGAAGAAGAAGAAGAGTGGCTGCTGCATGGTGAGCAGGGCAGGTTGAGGAAGGAAGGAAGAATGAAAGAGTGAATGAGAGATATGGAGGTGGAGGGAGGGAGAGAAGGAGGGAACATGGCCCTCCCTCCCTGGCTTCTGTTTCTGCTTCTTGGTCTTCTTCTTCTTCTTAAGGCTGTTTCTTAAGGCTGCAACCATTCCAAACCCAGTCAGTCCCATGCACGCATGCATAGCCCCCCCCCCCCCACCCCGCACCCTTCCTTTACTTTTCTTTCCTTTCCTTCCTGTGGTGCCTCTGACATGCACATCATTGCTGTTGCAATACTCGCACTTCCATTGTTTGCTTGTTTGCATCTTTCTTTCTTTCTTGCTTGTGCCAGTGCGCTCACTACTCCCGCTTTGGAGGCTGCCATTACACTTCTGACTGGGTTTTGCTTTCTTTTCCCTTGTATTCAGGTTGTAGCATGAAACGCCTTTTTAAGGAGTTTATCTTGGATTGATTGGTATTGAAATTGATTTGTGAAATGACCTTGATTAACAATGAAGGTGAATTCCTCAACAAAATAAACAAAAAGAAACAATCATGGCCCTCATTTCCACCCTCCTTGTTCCTAGCCTCCTCTTCTTCTATTCCTAGCCTTCTTCATTCCAATCTCCCCTCATTCCTAGCTCTTATTCCAACTTCCTTTGTTTTCCTTGATTTCTACAATACGATGTATTGATTTTGTAAATGGATGGATCGTTATATATATATATATATATATATATATATATAATGCTTTGCACGTTGGCACCTTCCCTAATTAATATTCTTTAACCAATATTTCTTGCTTAATTCATAACACTTGTTAAAACAAAGATTTTATGCAAGTTGTAAAATAATAATTATTTTTTTTGCATAATGGATAATTTAGAAAAATAAAAATAAAAATAAATCAAACAAGGAATAAAACCCTAATTTTTTAATTTCAAGACTATGAATTGGGAAATTTTCTAAGGTGAATGTGAAGAATAGAATTATCTTAGGTAGTCATCTCGAGATATTCACCATCTTCAAATAAAAAATAAATATAAAAAATGATTGTAAAAATTTAAAAAATAAATAAAAAAAATAAGAAGCACTTATACAGTTTTGGCCAAAAGATGTAATTAATATGTTGGTGGGGTTGCAATGAAATTTCTAAGACAAAAGATTCATGCTGCAAGCTCATGTCTCAAAATTGTGCAATGGTAGCTTGAATTACCAAATCAACAAACACATGATACTTTCATAGCATTGCAGCTAGTCTGAAGCTCAAAAATGACAATAGATGCAAAATAAATCCAAATTTCATGGAAACCAAAGAATTATTTAGGCATCTTATGACTAAATGGAAAAATTAAACAGCTAATAATAGTATACGGACTCCTTGTCTACCTACAACCAGTCAGCTCATATCAAATTGAAACATCACATTTCTATTGATGTATCTAGAGTTGCCTATAAGGAGGCCTTGTATATGGCTCACTTACTATCCATCATTCAGAAGACCTTCCACCACTATACCAATTTATATCAAAATTTTGCAATTTTGTAATTGCATAATTTTTCAACTCATTACAGAAAAAACATAGCAATTTAGCATGCAGATATAACCTTGCTGCAATTAATGCACACAATCACATCTTCATTATTTGAAAAAAGAGGACAGTTTTTATAGGAAGAAGGCATTGATAAACTAAAATAATTAAATGATTCTCTATAAATAATAAAATCTTGTATAATTTACAAAATTTCCATCCATTAAGATTATTGATTAGGCAAGGTATTAATATATATATACACCCACATCATTTATAAAAATATTCCAATTACAAATATTTTAGTCAAAAATACTAAAAAGTAAGAGTGTTTAGATTCTATCAATACAAAATATACAAAAGATATGTATACCTATACTGATTTAGTTTATAGATAGGTTTTTAACAATGTTTTTTTGAATATCAATTTTATGAATGCTCTAAACATCTTACTTTTAATATATATATATATATATATATATATACATTTAATTGGTTATGATATTTGAATAAGTATCATAAATCACGTATTTTTTATTTTAAAATAAATCAAACTTGCAAAACATTATACAAACGTTTTATAATTTCTAAAAAACCTATAAAATTATTAGATATTTTTTTTGAGTACAAATAAATAGAAAAAAAGGCATACAAAAATTATCATTATATTAATATTTTTTTCTAATCTTATATACTTTGTAGTTTAAAGAATTTTGTATCTAGTATAATGATTTTTTTTTACTTTTATTTGTTGATAGTAAAAGCCTCTAGTTTTATTTCTTCATTGTGTGAAAATAAAATTAAATATAAATCTGTACCTTTTAAAAAATTGATAGATTTTTATAATAATTTTAGATAATTATTGTAAAAGCCATCAGTATTCATATTTATGAAGCTAGAAGATTCTAATACAAATATAATTATATAAGACATAATTTATTTTTATTTATTTTTAAATTTATGAATTAAAAATCTAAAAAATTTTAAAACCAATTATTTAATATTTGGCCACTAATAATTTGAAGCTATCATATTTTTATTTTATTATATTAAAAATTAAAAATAAATATCAATTTTCAATAAAAGAAATTATATATATATATATATATATATATATAATTCTAAACCATATATATATATATTAAAAATATATATATAATATAAAAAGACAAAGAAGCCTTTTGATTGGCCATGAGGAAGGGAACATGGAGAATGCAAGGAATTCAAAGAACATGGAAACAAATATAGGAACTCTAGAACATGAGAACAAGAGAACCAAAGAATATGTGAATGAGACAACAACAAAAACTAGGGAACTAGCAAACATAGGAGCCATGGAATATAGAAACTACATGATATAGGAATAAGGAAGTGTGGATGATCAAGGGAATAGATGGATGTATCCAAGATTGCAGTGCCCAATGGCTTGGATTTTGGCTAGTTTATATGTATATACATAATATCTTTGTAAACATACTATTCTCAAAAATGTATTGTATAAAGTATCTTATAATAATTTATAATTTTATATAAATTATAAAATTATACTATTCTTTATAAAAAAAAATAAAGAATTTGTTTATTTTGTTAGAATAGGCTTGATATTATTAGTAACTTTTATTAGCAAAAATATGAATTGATTTTTGAATTATTGGAGTTTTAAGTTGTTATTTGATTTGAGGTTCTATATTTTTACAAAATTCATTATATTAAAAAATATCTTTTTAATATTTTCAATTAAAAAAAGAAAAATAAATCAATCAAAAAAATAATTCGGTGAATTATTTTCATTATTTTATTGTTTATTGTACTCCAACATTGTTACTAGGGCATATAAATCATATTAGTGATTAGGCATGATTGAATTGAAATAATTTCTGAATTGGATAAATTTTTTTTCAATTAATTTCAAATAAAAGAATATTAAGATCAATTCAATTATGCTTACAATTACATTAGAGAAGCAAAACAAGCACAATGATGTAGAACCCACCTAAAAGACTAAACCAATTTTTGTGTTATGCAATTTGACTATGAATTGCTTGCACAAGTATATATATTTTTTTATTTTAAAATAATTATGATGATTTTTTTTAATTTTTAAGTAGGCTCAAAAGTTCTATTCATCCAAGAATTACATGTTAAGAATTAGTTCTTAAGTTGTGAATTGATATGCAAGAATTCGACATGTTTGAAATCTTTATTCTATGCCACTGTAATTATGAAATTTCAAATGTTTAAATATGTATATAATGTGTTTTACATAATGTCCTTAAGAGCGTTTGTTCTTATTTATTTTTAATTTCTCTTTAAATCTTATATTTAATATAGTTTATCCAGTGAATTTCAACAAACTAATAA